TTTAAGACCTTTTTAAAGAAACTTAATTGCAGAAGAAACCTGTGAATAGTTTGAAAAAAATTGGTTCAAAATGGGATTAAGAAAGTGTTGTAATTGTTTGAATAGGAAAACTGTCCATTTTTTAAAGTTATTTTGCATTTTTTTGAATTAAAAACAAACGTAGAAAAACTCTAAAATGAAAATATTTTGAAACGAAAATGAAAACTATGGAAAATTCCGTTGAAAAATAGCTTTAGAGTAGGGAAATTAGCTCAAATGGTAGAGCGCTCGCTTTGCATGTGAGAGGTAGTGGGATCAATACCCACATTCTCCAAAAACTTTTAAGACCTTTTTAAAGAAACTTAATTGCAGAAGAAACCTGTGAATAGTTTGAAAAAATTTGGTTCAAAATGGGATTAAGAAAGTGTTGTAATTGTTTGAATAGGAAAACTGTCCATTTTTTAAAGTTATTTTGCATTTTTTTGAATTAAAAACAAACGTAGAAAAACTCTAAAATGAAAATATTTTGAAACGTAAATGAAAACTATGGAAAATTTTGTTGAAAATGACTTAAGAGTAGGGGAATTAGCTCAAATGGTAGAGCGCTAGCTTAGTATGTGAGAGGTAGTGGGATCAATACCCACATTATCCAAAAACTTTTAAGACCTTTTTAAAGAAACTTAATTGCAGAAGAAACCTGTGAATAGTTTGAAAAAACTTGGTTCAAAATGGGATTAAGAAAGTGTTGTAATTGCTTGAATGGGAAAACTGTCCAGTTTTTAAGTTATTTAAATTTTTTTTTATGTAAAAACAAACGTAGAAAAACTCTAAATGAAAATGATTTTGAAACGAAAATGAAAACTATGGAAAATTTCGTTGAAAATGACTTAAGAGTAGGGGAATTAGCTCAAATGTTAGAGTGCTCGCCTTGCATGTGAGAGGTAGTGGGATCAATACCCACATTCTCCAAAAACTTTTAAGACCTTTTTAAAGAAACTTAATTGCAGAAGAAACCTGTGAATAGTTTGAAAAAATTTGGTTCAAAATGGGATTAAGAAAGTGTTGTAATTGTTTGAATAGGAAAACTATCCATTTTTAAAAGTTATTTAACATTTTTTGAAGTAAAAACAAACTTAGAAAAATTCTAAATGAAAAAGATTTTGAAACGAAAATGAAAACTATGGAAAATTTGTTGAAAATGACTTAAGAGTAGGGGAATTAGCTCAAATGGTAGAGCGCTCGCTTTGCATGTGAGAGGTAGTGGGATCGATACCCACATTCTCCAAAAACTTTTAAGACCTTTTTAAAGAAACTTAATTGCAGAAGAAACCTGTGAATAGTTTGAAAAAATTTGGTTCAAAATGGGATTAAGAAAGTGTTGTAATTGTTTGAATAGGAAAACTGTCAATTTTTTTAAGTTATTTTGGCTTTTTTTTAATTAAAAACAAACGTAGAAAAACTCTAAAATGAAAATATTTTGAAACGAAAATGAAAACTATGGAAAATTTTGTTGAAAATGATTTAAGAGTAGGGGAATTAGCTCAAATGGTAGAGCGCTCGCTTTGCATGTGAGAGGTAGTGGGATCAATACCCACATTCTCCAAAAACTTTTAAGACCTTTTTAAAGAAACTAAATTGCAGAAGAAACCTGAGAATAGTTTGAAAAAATTTGGTTCAAAATGGGATTAAGAAAGTGGTGTAATTGTTTGAATAGGAAAACTGTCCATTTTTTAAAGTTATTTTGCATTTTTTTTAATTAAAAACAAACGTAGAAAAACTCTAAAATGAAAATATTTTGAAACGAAAATGAAAACTATGGAAAATTTGTTGAAAATGACTTTAAGAGTAGGGGAATTAGCTCAAGTGGTAGAGCGCTCGCTTAGCATGTGAGAGGTAGTGGGATCGATACCCACATTCTCCAAAAACTTTTAAGACCTTTTTAAAGAAACTTAATTAGAAGAAACCTGTGAATAGTTTGAAAAAATTTGGTTCAAAATGGGATTAAGAAAGTGTTGTAATTGTTTGAATAGGAAAACTGTCCATTTTTTAAAGTTATTTTACATTTTTTTGAATTAAAAACAAACGTAGAAAAACTCTAAAATGAAAATATTTTGAAACGAAAATGAAAACTATGGAAAATTCCGTTGAAAAATGGCTTAAGATTAGGGGAATTAGCTCAAATGGTAGAGTGCTCGCTTTGCATGTGAGAGGTAGTGGGATCAATACCCACATTCTCCAAAAACTTTTAAGACCTTTTAAAGAAACTTAATTGCAGAAGAAACCTGTGAATAGTTTGAAAAAATTTGGTTCAAAATGGGATTAAGAAAGTGTTGTAATTGTTTGAATAGGAAAACTGTCCAGTTTTTAAAGTTATTTTGCATTTTTTTTAATTAAAAACAAACGTAGAAAAACTCTAAAATGAAAATATTTTGAAACGAAAATGAAAACTATGGAAAATTTTGTTGAAAATGACTTAAGAGTAGGGGAATTAGCTCAAATGGTAGAGCGCTCGCTTTGCATGTGAGAGGTAGTGGGATCAATACCCACATTCTCCAAAAACTTTTAAGACCTTTTTAAAGAAACTTAATTAGAGAAGAAACCTGTGAATAGTTTGAAAAAACTTGGTTCAAAATGGGATTAAGAAAGTGTTGTAATTGCTTGATTGGGAAAACTGTCCAGTTTTTAAGTTATTTAAATTTTTTTATGTAAAAACAAACGTAGAAAAACTCTAAATGAAAATGATTTTGAAACGAAAATGAAAACTATGGAAAATTTCGTTGAAAATGACTTAAGAGTAGGGGAATTAGCTCAAATGTTAGAGTGCTCGCCTAGCATGTGAGAGGTAGTGGGATCAATACCCACATTCTCCAAAAACTTTTAAGACCTTTTTAAAGAAACTTAATTGCAGAAGAAACCTGTGAATAGTTTGAAAAAATTTGGTTCAAAATGGGATTAAGAAAGTGTTGTAATTGTTTGAATAGGAAAACTGTCCATTTTTTAAAGTTATTTTACATTTTTTTAATTAAAAACAAACGTAGAAAAACTCTAAAATGAAAATATTTTGAAACGAAAATGAAAACTATGGAAAATTTTGTTGAAAATGACTTAAGAGTAGGGGAATTAGCTCAAATGGTAGAGCGCTCGCTTTGCATGTGAGAGGTAGTGGGATCAATACCCACATTCTCCAAAATCTTTTAAGACCTTTTTAAAGAAACTTAATTAGAGAAGAAACCTGTGAATAGTTTGAAAAAATTTGGTTCAAAATGGGATTAAGAAAGTGTTGTAATTGTTTGAATAGGAAAACTGTCCATTTTTTAAAGTTATTTTGCATTTTTTGAATTAAAAGCAAACGTAGAAAAACTCTAAAATGAAAATATTTTGAAACGAAAATGAAAACTATGGAAAATTTGTTGAAAATGACTTAAGAGTAGGGGAATTAGCTCAAATGGTAGAGCGCTCGCTTTGCATGTGAGAGGTAGTGGGATCAATACCCACATTCTCCAAAAACTTTTAAGACCTTTTTAAAGAAACTTAATTAGAGAAGAAACCTGTGAATAGTTTGAAAAAATTTGGTTCAAAATGGGATTAAGAAAGTGTTGTAATTGTTTGAATAGAAAAACTGTCCATTTTTTAAAGTTATTTTACATTTTTTTTAATTAAAAACAAACGTAGAAAAACTCTAAATGAAAAAGATTTTGAAACGAAAATGAAAACTATGGAAAATTCCGTTGAAAAATAGCTTTAGAGTAGGGGAATTAGCTCAAGTGGTAGAGCGCTCGCTTAGCATGTGAGAGGTAGTGGGATCGATACCCACATTCTCCAAAAACTTTTAAGACCTTTTTAAAGAAACTTAATTGCAGAAGAAACCTGTGAATAGTTTGAAAAAATTTGGTTCAAAATGGGATTAAGAAAGTGTTGTAATTGTTTGAATAGGAAAACTGTCCATTTTTTAAAGTTATTTAGCATTTTTTTGAATTAAAAACAAACGTAGAAAAACTCTAAAATGAAAATATTTTGAAACGAAAATGAAAACTATGGAAAATTCTGTTGAAAAATAGCTTTAGAGTAGGGGAATTAGCTCAAATGGTAGAGCGCTCGCTTTGCATGTGAGAGGTAGTGGGATCAATACCCACATTCTCCAAAAACTTTTAAGACCTTTTTAAAGAAACTTAATTGCAGAAGAAACCTGTGAATAGTTTGAAAAAATTTGGTTCAAAATGGGATTAAGAAAGTGTTGTAATTGTTTGAATAGGAAAACTGTCCATTTTTTAAAGTTATTTACATTTTTTTAATTAAAAACAAACGTAGAAAAACTCTAAAATGAAAATATTTTGAAACGAAAATGAAAACTATGGAAAATTCCGTTGAAAAATAGCTTTAGAGTAGGGGAATTAGCTCAAATGGTAGAGCGCTCGCTTAGCATGTGAGAGGTAGTGGGATCAATACCCACATTCTCCAAAAACTTTTAAGACCTTTTAAAAGAAACTTAATTGCAGAAGAAACCTGTGAATAGTTTGAAAAAATTTGGTTCAAAATGGGATTAAGAAAGTGTTGTAATTGTTTGAATAGGAAAACTGTCCATTTTTTTAAGTTATTTTAGCATTTTTTTTAATTAAAAACAAACGTAGAAAAACTCTAAAATGAAAATATTTTGAAACGAAAATGAAAACTATGGAAAATTTTGTTGAAAATGACTTAAGAGTAGGGGAATTAGCTCAAATGGTAGAGCGCTCGCTTTGCATGTGAGAGGTAGTGGGATCAATACCCACATTCTCCAAAAACTTTTAAGACCTTTTTAAAGAAACTTAATTAGAGAAGAAACCTGTGAATAGTTTGAAAAAATTTGGTTCAAAATGGGATTAAGAAAGTGTTGTAATTGTTTGAATAGGAAAACTGTCCATTTTTTAAAGTTATTTAGCATTTTTTGAATTAAAAACAAACGTAGAAAAACTCTAAAATGAAAATATTTTGAAACGAAAATGAAAACTATGGAAAATTCAGTTGAAAATTATTCAAGAGTAGGGGAATTAGCTCAAGTGGTAGAGCGCTCGCTTTAGCATGTGAGAGGTAGTAGGGATCAATACCCACATTCTCCAAAAACTTTTAAGACCTTTTTAAAAGAAACTATAAGTGCACTAAGAAACCAGAAGAAACAAAAACTTGATGTTCAAAATGGGAAAAAGAAAGTGTTCTGTAAAATGAATAGGATCAAGTCCATTTTTTAAAGTTGTAATTGTTTGAATTAAAAACAAAGAAAACTGTCTATTTTTTAAAAAGAGAATTTGAAACTAAAATGAAAACTACAAAAATAGAAACGTTGAATGAAAAAGCTATTTTGAGAAGTAGGGGAATTATTTATGGAAGAGCGCTCTGCTTAGCAATGTGAGAGGTAGTGGGAGTCGGGGAATTAGCATCAAGTGGTCAGAGAAAACGTTTTAAGAACTTTTTAAAGTGAAAGCTTAAATGGCAGAAGAAACCTGTGAATAGTTTGAAAAAATTTGGTTCAAAATGGGATTAAGAAAGTGTTGTAATTGTCCAAAAAATTTTAAGGAAAACTGACCTTTTTTGAAAAATAAAGTACTTTAGATCAGAGAAGAAACCTGAATTAAAAACAATGAAAAAATTTGGTTCAAAATGGGATTAAGAAAGTGTTGTAATTGTTTGAATAGGAAAACTGTCTTTTTTAAAGTTATTTTGCTTTTTTTTAATTAAAAGCAAACGTAGAAAAACTCTAAAATGAAAATATTTTGAAACGAAAATGAAAACTATGGAAAATTTTGTTGAAAATGACTTAAGAGTAGGGGAATTAGCTCAAATGGTAGAGCGCTCGCTTTGCATGTGAGAGGTAGTGGGATCAATACCCACATTCTCCAAAAACTTTTAAGACCTTTTAAAGAAACTTAATTAGAGAAGAAACCTGTGAATAGTTTGAAAAAATTTGGTTCAAAATGGGATCAAGAAAGTGTTGTAATTGTTTGAATAGGAAAACTGTCCATTTTTTTAAGTTATTTTACATTTTTTTTAATTAAAAACAAACGTAGAAAAACTCTAAAATGAAAATATTTTGAAACGAAAATGAAAACTATGGAAAATTTTGTTGAAAATGGCTTAAGAGTAGGGGAATTAGCTCAAATGGTAGAGCGCTCGCTTTGCATGTGAGAGGTAGTGGGATCAATACCCACATTCTCCAAAAAACTTTTAAGACCTTTTTAAAGAAACTTAATTGCAGAAGAAACCTGTGAATAGTTTGAAAAAATTTGGTTCAAAATGGGATTAAGAAAGTGTTGTAATTGTTTGAATAGGAAAACTGTCCATTTTTTAAAGTTATTTAGCATTTTTTTGAATTAAAAACAAACGTAGAAAAACTCTAAAATGAAAATATTTTGAAACGAAAATGAAAACTATGGAAAATTTCGTTGAAAAATAGCTTTAGAGTAGGGGAATTAGCTCAAATGGTAGAGCGCTCGCTTGCATGTGAGAGGTAGTGGGATCAATACCCACATTCTCCAAAAACTTTTAAGACCTTTTTAAAGAAACTTAATTAGAGAAGAAACCTGTGAAAAGTTTGAAAAAATTTGGTTCAAAATGGGATTAAGAAAGTGTTGTAATTGTTTGAATAGGAAAACTGTCCATTTTTTAAAGTTATTTTACATTTTTTTGAATTAAAAACAAACGTAGAAAAACTCTAAAATGAAAATATTTTGAAACGAAAATGAAAACTATGGAAAATTCTGTTGAAAATGGCTTAAGAGTAGGGGAATTAGCTCAAATGGTAGAGCGCTCGCTTTGCATGTGAGAGGTAGTGGGATCAATACCCACATTCTCCAAAAACTTTTAAGACCTTTTTAAAGAAACTTAATTGCAGAAGAAACCTGTGAATAGTTTGAAAAAATTTGGTTCAAAATGGGATTAAGAAAGTGTTGTAATTGTTTGAATGGGAAAACTGTCCATTTTTAAAAGTTATTTAACATTTTTTGAAGTAAAAACAAACGTAGAAAAACTCTAAATGAAAAAGATTTTGAAACGAAAATGAAAACTATGGAAAATTCCGTTGAAAAATAGCTTTAGAGTAGGGGAATTAGCTCAAGTGGTAGAGCGCTCGCTTAGCATGTGAGAGGTAGTGGGATCAATACCCACATTCTCCAAAAACTTTTAAGACCTTTTTAAAGAAACTTAATTAGAGAAGAAACCTGTGAATAGTTTGAAAAAATTTGGTTCAAAATGGGATTAAGAAAGTGTTGTAATTGTTTGAATAGGAAAACTGTCCATTTTTTAAAGTTATTTTACATTTTTTTTAATTAAAAACAAACGTAGAAAAACTCTAAAATGAAAATATTTTGAAACGAAAATGAAAACTATGGAAAATTCCGTTGAAAAATGGCTTAAGAGTAGTGGAATTAGCTCAAATGGTAGAGCGCTCGCTTTGCATGTGAGAGGTAGTGGGATCAATACCCACATTCTCCAAAAACTTTTAAGACCTTTTTAAAGAAACTTAATTGCAGAAGAAACCTGTGAATAGTTTGAAAAAATTTGGTTCAAAATGGGATTAAGAAAGTGTTGTAATTGTTTGAATGGGAAAACTGTCCAGTTTTTAAGTTATTTAAATTTTTTTATGTAAAAACAAACGTAGAAAAACTCTAAATGAAAATGATTTTGAAACGAAAATGAAAACTATGGAAAATTTCGTTGAAAATGACTTAAGAGTAGGG